TTTCTTTGTTTCCCTTCTACTCAGTCACTTGCTCTACCAGTTGTATTCATTCCATTGGACCTTTTAGCATTGCTAGCTTAACTGTCTTTTTCTAGGATATCATTGTGAATATTTTGGAGTGTTGACTTGGTGGGCATAGATTTCTTTAAGTGCTCTTTGTCATAGAAATATCTAATTTCTCCATCATTATTTTGAAAGATAATTTTTCAGGATGCATCAGTCTAGTTTGGAAATTGTTTGCTTTTAGAATGTGAAACATTTCACTCCCTGCTCTCCTTGCCTTTAGGGTTTGTGCTGAGAAGTCTTCTGTAATTATGAGAGTTTTTCTTTGTAAGTGATGTGTTGCTCATCTCTAACAGCTTCTAAGATTTTGTTCTTGTGTTGGATTTCTGACTATGATGTGTCATGGAATGGTTAATCATGGCTATTTGTGGTTCTATATGTCCTGGTATGTTAATCTCTTTTTCCACATTTGGAAAGTTTTCTGCTTTTACTTCTGTAAATAGGTTTATTATGCCACCACGCTCTTTCTTGACTTCTCAGCTATGGTTTACATGTGTTCCCCAAAGTTCATGTGTTGAAAACTGTGGAGAAGTGGGATCTTTAGAGGTGATTAGGTCATGAGGGCTCTGTCCTTATGAATGGATCAGCACTACTGTCTTGGGATTGTGTTAGTTATCCTTGGAGTGGGTTTCTGATAAGAGAATAAGTTTGGGACCCTACTCTCTCTTGTGCTCTTTTTTGCCATCTTATGATGCAGTAAGAGGGCCCTCGCCAGAAGTGGTCCCAGCCTCCTGATTCATGGATCTGGAATTTTTGCCATTGGCTGATGCAGCAAGAAGACCTTTGTCAGATGTGAGTCCCTTGACCTTCATACCCATAAGAATCAAATATCTTTTCTTTATGAATTCCTCAGTCTCAGAGATTCTTTTATAGCAGCATAAAACAGACGAAGACAAGGTCTAAACTTGGGGTATGTGTAAAGCCAGACTTTTTGTCCTTCTCCTCTGAAGTCAGTTCCCTCCAGTATTTTTCCTGCTTCAGTCCACAGTGATGAAGGTGTGGTCCACACCAGTATCCCTCTGCAGCAGCTTCTTGCAGTTTCTTTCATGGACAGCAACGTTTTGGGGTCTTCCTCCCTTTGGCAGCTGTGCTCTTACTGCTCCGGACAACTGGAATTCCAAGTCTTCCTCTTCACTGACACTGGCCCAGAGAATGGGGTGTGGTGGCGGCAGATCTTGAGGGGAAAGCGAGGTGCATCCTGGGAGAGCCAATGGCTCGTTCTCGCATCCCATTTTGTTATGTCCCAATGTCAGTCTTCTACTTTAGTCCTGAATATATTGGAACCCTAAACCAAAAGACAACCCTTGTGAGGCTTCTTCTCTCCTGGGCCCCTCTTGTTTCTTGCTGCTGAATCTTAGCAGCAGTTCAGATCTTGGCCACTGAATCTCTTCAGTTCTTCCTTTTGAAGTCCTTCCTAGCTCTCAAAGCCGAGCAGTAAATTATCCCCCTAATGGTTGTATTAGGCCTTACCGTGATTATTTGAAGCCCCATAATCTTATAAGAATGGGGTCTGGGGTCAGAGAGAGCCAGTGACTGCTCTAAGCATCTCCCACTGTGCCCCTTCCTCTGGAGGCTTTCGGGCTCTGCACTGACACGGCGCTGAGGATGGCTGTGTGTCGGGAGCGCGAGGAGGAGAAGCTCGCAGGCAGCCTGGTGTCTGCTGACTGAGTGTGGCCACTGGACACTCGGGTTTAGGTCAGCCGCCCCTGGCTGCACCACACAAGACATTTGGCTGGCAATACATAGAGTCATTTAGCTCTGGCATGCTGAGCCCAAGGGCAGGGACGGCACTGGAGGAAGAGTGGGTCCAAGCAGCTCCTGGCACGTCTTGGGCTTGGTAATGTTCTCTGTCCCTCTTTGTGAAGGCTTGATTGAGTGGGCCTGGGCAGCTGGGCAGCTTTGCCTCAGACGCCTCCTTCGGACCTGTGCCCTGGCCATCAGGCCTTGGCTGTCTGCTCTCTGATTGGCCTCGGGGAGCCTGGCCAGATGGCTCTAGGCCCTGCTCTGCAGGAGGTGAGAACCCCATGTCCTGCGCCTGGCCTGCCCCTACCTCTCGGGTGCCAGCGTTTGATTGAGAGATCCCAGGAGCCTGGATCTGTAATCTGAGGTTGCTGAGCCTTGAATGAATTCAGTTCTTCGCAGTCGACAGTCTTCTTGCCAGGGTGGCACAGGCAGGCCCAGGATTGAGGCAGTTTCTCAGGCACAGTAAGTTGCCTCTGGGTACTGGCCTGCTGCTGGGCGGTGGGGGCACTGACGATGCAGGAGGGGGCTACTGGGATGGGAAGGTCTCTTTTTACCATGACTCTGCAGGGGCCATACCTGGGGCCCAGAATGAGGGGCTTGTGCTCGGCGTGCTCCATGGAAGACGTCACCCCTTGGCTGAAGGTGGCAGCAGTTCCTTCTGATAGGAGCATTGGTGCTGTCCAGCTTCCTGCCCACACTGGCTTACTCTTGCTTTCTCTGCCGTTGCCCCAGGAGCCCAGCTCTTCCCCACAGGGGTCAAGCGCGCTGTACCCCAGGGCCTTTGTCCTGGCTGTTCCTTTGCAGGAACACTGTCCTTCCTGTCTACTTAGCTTGCCCCTGCTTTCTCCTGGTGTTTTCTCAACCTTCCCTGACCAGTGAAGCCCACCTTGACCACCCACTCGAAGTCTGTAAGTTGCCTTCTCCTCCAGTGTACCTGACTCCCTCTCACCCTGCCGTCTTCCTTTTTTCCTGTAACACTTAGGACTTTGTAGCACACCCCAGGATTTGTACTACCTGCCTGTTTAGCATTCTTATTTTTAAAAAGCCTTTCTGCCCTCACAGGATATAAGCTCCCCTGGGACAAGCATCTTTGTTCCATTCAGTATTAGAAGAGTGTCTGGTACATACATAACAACTGCTCAACCAGAGTCTGTTCCCGGGGCTGTGGGCGGGTCCCTGGGCACCAAGTGGAGCCCGCTTCACACCTGACCAAGCTCTGTTGCACTTCACTCTCCAGGCTGCTGATCCACCTCCAGGGAGCGACGTCACAGTGGCTCTGAGGCCCTGCTGGCTGGCGGGAGCCTTGCTGGAATGGGCACAGAAGGGCCTTGAGTCTGACATAGGCCTGGGCTGTGGGCTGGCAGTGGGCAGCCTGATGGTGACACCGTCCACGACTGGGTCCTGGCACTGTAGTAGAGCTGCAGGCGTTCTGTTAGAGATGTGCCGAGTTGCAGGGTGTGACTGCTTTCCTAGGTGGTGTGGAAAGGGGTGGAGTTGCAGGCACCTCTGGGTGGTGGTGCAGTCCTCGAGAGTCCCGGCCGTGCTGGAGCCTGCAGCCCACACTGATGAATGGCAGGTCTTCAGGGGCTGGAAAGTATCATCCTTGCCTGCGGTCGTGCTTCACAGGTAGGGCGCTACGAGTTCAAAATGCAGAATGGGAGATCAGCAGCTTGACCAGCACCAGATAGTGTGTCTCTTAATTGGTTGCTTGTAGGTGACAGCCACTTAGAGACTCAGCTTTTCCTGCTACATCCAGCACTGTCTTTCCCTGACCCTACTGGGCTTAAAGTCTTCCCTCCACAGTGTCCTGCTATGTGAGGCCCTGGGTTCTACACAGGTCCAGAATGCGTGTAAGCCAACTAAGCTGTACGCATGGGCTGGTGCTTAGCATTGCCAGTAGCTCTTAAACACAGTCCCAGTTATCTAGGAAGAGGAGACCTGCAGACCGAGGCTGACCTAATCTGTATAATCAGGAGGGACTTCACAGCGAGTAAAGAACTGTTTCTTGTTGACAGAGTGATGCCAGCAGGTTTCACCCTTGAGAGGAGCTGACAGTCAGGGCCCTGGGAGAGCAGCAGGTCATGGCCAGGGCCTGGGCCGGGTCGTCTGCATTGGGGGGTGGCTGTCCTGTGACGACTGCTTGCTGGTCCTTCTCTCCATAGTGAGTGCAGTAGTGGATCACTCACTGCGGTGGTCAGGTCGGGCCACGGGTGAGGCGGCCCGAACAGGACTGAGTCTGAGCAGAGACAGCTGCCGTGTGAGCCACTGTTACTTTCTGATTGTTTCCAAAGTCTGGAGGGCCCAGGAAGCAGAGAGCAGCTTTCCCATCCCTTCGAATCCCAGGACAAGAGGGTGGATTTAGCTATTTCCAGGGGGTCTTTCTTCTTGAAGGAAGCAAGGGCCCATGGAAGGCCAGCCCCAGATGACAGCAAAGAGCTTAGGGAGAAAAATGGGACTGTATTAAGATGCTTTCAGATGCAAGTGATAAAAATTCAACCCAAAATATCTTAAGCGAAGTAGGGATTTATTATTGGATTAAATCCCAGGGAAGAGGCCTGACTAGAATGACATCATTGCAGCTCTGTTCCCTCGAGTCCCTGGCTCTGCTCCCCGTCGCTGGCATTGCTCTGCAGACAGCTCTGTCCTGGGCTGGAGCAGTTGATGGCTGCTGACAGCCCCAACTCATGTGCTTCCTGCTTGGCACCAACCCTGGATCCAGAGAAACTTCCATATCCTGACTTACGCAGAGAAGACAAAACCCTGCTGCCCTGTGGGCTGATGGACATCACTAGCCCAATGTCAGTGGCCAGGAGGTTGACCCAGGGAGGGGGTGAGGGTGACACCCTGAGTGATAAGCCCCACTACTGTGTGCAGAACCCAGGAGGAGCCATGGCCCTACATCTGCCCCACACTGGAGATTCCTCTTTCTTTACTTTACCACTCCCCAGGGCTCAGGGTCACCAGCTTTGGGGTAGAATGAGAAGCCGAAAATTTATAAGCATTAGGTCTTTTACGTTTTCAAATCAACTGCACATGTGGGGAGGAAGCTGCTGAGAAGCCGCTGCAGTTCCCTTGCTGCAGGGCACCTCTGCCCACACCCCTCTCAAACTGGAGCGTGGATGGAAGCCATCCAGTGCCCGTCCTTCCATGGTAAGTTGGTGTAGGGGGCAATAATGAGTCCCTCTTACTCACAGGTCGTTAGACTTGGGCACAGCGGAAGAGGAACCTCCCCCGAGGGAGCCTCAGTGACATCTGGACCTGATCAGATGACGAGAGCCTGATGTTGAGCTGGTGCCACGGCAGGGTGAGACCTGGGCGCCTCGAGGGGCACGCAGCGGGCGGGGGCGCTGTGCAGGATGGAGGGTGTGAGCTGGGTAATGGCGCTGGGCAGAGGCCTTGCGGCAGGGGCAGGCTGTCTTTTTGACAGTCGCCGTCATAATAGTGACAGTCCCACATGTTCCTCTCGCAACATGACCTTGCTAGTCCGCTGTTAAGAGGACTCTCTGGCCCCACCTTGAACTGGGTGACCTGTGAAATTACTTTGGGCCACAGGGCAGAGTGCGGTGATGAGAAGACCTCTAGGCCAGGTGGCAGGGATGCTGGGACTTTGCGCGGGGGTCGCCTCTTCTGGACACTTGGTGTGAGAGCCCAGGCCGCGGGGAGAGGCCACACAGGTGTGTGGCCGCAGTCTCATGCCGGATGTGATCTCCTGCTTCTCCTGGTTGCAGCTGCATGAGAGAGCCTCAAAGAGCACTGCTGGCTGAGCCCAGTCGACCTCCCAAGCTGCAGGCGATGACGACATAACGGTAACCATCCTCATGATGCACTGCTGTTTCCGGCCCAAAGTCTGGGGTGCTGTTTCACCTAACGGTGAGTAATAAGAACCGTCAGTATGGAGGTCTCAGGAGACTCCGAATGGTCCACAATTTGAGGTAAGCTGGAGCTACGGCAACTTAAGCTCTAAAATACTTCCAAAGACCAACAGTTTGGGTTGGGAAGAGACAGGGGGTTAAGGAAGTCAAATGGCATTAAACTGGTGGTTGAACGTTGGAGGTGGAAGAACACAGGGAGTGGGACATTTTAGGTACGGTGGCCTTAGCAGCCTTGCCGGAAAGATCCACGTGTCCGGAAACTTCCCTCCCGAGGGTGAAGCCCGTGCCTGGCTCTCAGGAGCACAGCGCTGTGAGCCTTGAGGATTCTGTCACTTCTCGGGGCAGGAGACATTTCTGCTGGTAATCTTTCCAGTCCCGCGCCTCCAAGCCTGCCTCTGTGCCCTGCTCTCAGCGTGTCTGGCATTGTGTCGGTGTTTGATCACAGCAGCAGCGTTTCCCTCCACTGCCGCAGGGCAAGGCCTCCGCGCCAGAGGACAGGCGGGCCGCTCGCCCCCAGCTGCCTTCCCTCCGCAGCCTTCCCTCGAGGTCCGTGGCTCCAGGGACGCGCTGCCTGCTCTCTGGAGCGGCGGCCCTCGCTGGCGCTGATCTTTCTGTCAGAGCGCTGCCCCTCGCCGGTCCATCCTCTTCCCACCCCCGCTTCCCACGCCTGGGTGCCCAGGAACCGCGGCCCCCTCCAGGAACCGCCCACTGCCGCAGGCCGGGCCGGGCCTCGGTGCTCACCGCCTGCCCTGCCCTCCTCCTTCCTAACGGTCAGTGCTGGTTCTCTCTGGGGTGCGGTGTCTCCGAACCGTGTTCCGTTTGTCTCCGCACCTGTTTTTGTCAGTCTTGGGTCCCTCATCCCCCGGGCCCTGGGGCACGCTCCTGACAGACACCGAGACCCGGTCATCCACGGAGTGGTCGGTTCAGGCCGTTGGACCAGAGGTGGGCTCTGGAGTCAGCAGGAGACCTGGTGTGGGCCTCGGCTCCTGGGTGCGGCCTCTGAGAGGTGGGGAGCTCGGACCTCCCGCACCGGGAGGACTGGGAGGAATGTGAGGAGGCAGGAGCTGTGGCAGCACCTCTGGGGTCCTTCCGGTTCCAGCCAAAGCCCCTCCAAGCCCCGATTCTCTCAGATAACGGCCGAGCACGGCAGGGTCCGGGGCTGCTGTCCCCTCTCCCTGTGGGCCCCATCGGGCCATCTCTGCCCTGGTGCTGTCTGCTGAACGCTCTCGGGGATTTCCTCTTGGGATTCCTGCAGGTCCCTCTGTGCTCCATCTTCCCCACCGTGGTTCTTTGTGCAGATGGTAGACCCATGCTGCAGTCGGAGCCCCTGGACTCCTGGTGGCTCTTCCCTCTGCCTCTCCGATGTCCAAGGGACATCTCAATGGCCTCTCCTATGCCTAGAGCACCAGCTGACATCTGCTGGAACCTGAGGCAAGCGTCTTCTCTGGCCCCTGCCTCAGTTTCCTCATCCAGGAAGTGGATGTAGTCACAGTAGTGTTTCATAGATCAGTAATGAGGATCCAGTGCATCACATGGTAAGAGCGCTCTGCGTTTTCTGGCAGGTAGAAAGTATGCCCCTTACCCCAAAGTCAGCAGCCGCTCTGTGTTAAACCCTAACCTCTGGCCAAGCTGTCCCAGCACAAGCTCCGTGAGCCGTTGAGCTCAGCAAGGCCTGGGGGCTCACCTGGACCCGTGCCGAAGGTCCCTGAAGCACTCTGCTTCTGGAGCCAGTACCCACCAGGTGAGGACGCCCACCGGGGGCTGGATGTGAGCATCACATGCCGTGTGCATGCCTGGAAATGTTGCAGTGAGATGAGTTAATTTTGTACAGTTAATATGTGTACTCCCAGGCGAGGTGGCACACACCTATGATTCCAGCCCTTGTGAGGCTGAGGCAGCAGGATCACCATGAGTTCAAGGCCAGCCTGAACTGTACAACAAGATCCTGTCTTAAAAAGGGATAATAGTGATAATAATAAAAATAATAAGCAAAGCCAATTGACAATGAAAAATAAGTGAGATACTTCCAGGTAACACACTTTCCTGAAAGGTTAAGGACTCCTGTGAGCTTGACTGGGGTGAAATGTGCCCCAGTACGGCTCCTCTGCCAGTTGGTCGGTCCTGCTGGAGGATAAGTTTCCGGACCCCAGAGCCCCTGTCACCTGGAGGGCAGGAGGGGCATGGCATGGGGAACTTGTCCCTCTCTGTGGGAAGCATCCACGTGTCCATCCCGGGAAAGGCTTGGCTCTGGGCCCCCTCCCAAGGGCGCGGCAGGTGCATGGGCCAAAGACAACATCAGGCCTTTCCGTGGCCGGGGCCGCTTCTTAGGGGTCGGGAGGCAGTGGGGGGAGGTGAGGCCCGGAGGCGTCAGCATTGTGGGGCCCCCGGCAGCGCTCTGTGCGGATTGCAGAGCCCAGGCGTCTGCCTTGGTGGGGAGCTGGGAGTGCTGGGAACCAGGGTCCATGCACCCGGCCTGGGGCAGGGGAAGCCACAGCCTGAAGTGGCTGCAATTAGATGTCCTTGGACAGTTCACTTACGGGGCATTGGAAGTGACCTTTGCTGAATACAGATGCTGCAGAAGCACTTTCCTCCTGTGAGTCTTTCCTGGCACGAACGGCCAGAGCTTTCCCAGGCTGGCCCCTGTGACGGAGAGAAGAAGCCACTCTTCCATGCGGTTTCCTTGGAGCCCGAGGCTGGTCTCAGAATCAAGGAGTTAGCAGCTGGTCACCCCATTCACTGCACACCACGTTCTCCGTGGACGTGGCGCTGATGGACGCTCACCGCAGCTCTGCAGGGAGGAGCTCTGGGCAGCTGCTTTGTGGACCGAGGTCTAGCTGAGCCTCAGAAACACCGGGGTGGCAATGCCGCGTTGGATCTCAGGGCAGAGTGTCCATCTGTGTGCGCTGTCTCTCAGTGTGATGGGAGGGAGAGAGCCAGGAGGCGAAGGCATCCTGTAGATCACCAGAGGGCTCCGCAGGGTCTCCCTGCATCACACAGCGAAGTTCTCCTGAACAGAGACTGGCCCGGTCACTCGCCTCATTAGTTCCAGCTATGAGAAAGCTCCAGGACCAAGAATGTTAAGAGTGATGTGTTTTCAAGGCTATGAAAGTTTCTTTCAATCTCATCTACAGCGCATGCTGTAGTTATGACCAGCCTGACCTACGAACAGCTTAGGTTATGACTGGAATTTTAGTTTTAACTTATGAACAAAGTCTTGAGTTACAACCCGAATGCTTGTGCTTATACTTCCAGATGATCTCAGATACAGAGTTAACCCTAAAGAGTTCTGGAAGGAACATGGCAGCATCCTCTCCTGGATGGGGTTCATTGAGAAATCCTGGGCCAGTGTCTCTCTACACTGAGATCTGGCTGTGTGCAGGAGAGAGACTGAAGGCTGTGGGGAGGAGCCTGAGCCCTCATTGACCAAACTGAGTTACAACCAGCCTTCTGGAAGGAATTGAGTTTGTAAGTCAAGGGTCCGCTGCACTTATGTGCTTTCCTGTGGGTATTTATGAACATAAATACCCAAATAAAATGAATTTTGGAGGCTAGGGTACTGTCAGGTGACACAAACGTGGGTCAAGACCAGAGCGTGGCCCACAGCAGGCTGGAAATGAGTGGGCTGGGGACAGCCACGTGCAGATGCAGGAGAGAGGCCTCTCTGAAGCACACGCATGTTGAGTGGGCTGGCTTTGCCAGCATGAGACCCACAGTCACAGAGGCTCAGATGGCCCTGCACTCACTGACATGGAATTCTTCATAATTTTCTCTCTTCACCTGTGTTTACAAGTCAAGTCCAATGAGGCCACAGAGCTTATGCTTGTAGCCCTGCATCACGAGAGCATCTCGCCGCCCTGCTATCCTGTTGTGTTCTGTCGCAGGGGATGCAGGATCCATGTGGGTGGGAGGCCCACAGGAAGAGAGGCTGCTCTTCACTGGGAACCTGGAGCTTGAGGCCCAGCACTGCTGAGCATAAAAAATACCAAATGTAGAAAAAAATCTTCCTAACGGTGCAGGGTTATGATTCTGACCCTGCTCTGCATGCATTCTGGAACTGAATGATGAAGTCCATGGCAAGTTTATCACTGTGAAGGAGAAGCTTACAGAGAAACAAAGGGGGAGCTGGTATGGTCCCTGTCCTAATGGACCAGAGTTGGGGAAATCACTGTAGGTAAAGTGGATGTGGATAGAAAGTTTTAGATAAGTGTAGACACACGGCTCAGGGGACACACATGCATTTACCTGCTCTGTCGGCTGAAAGAGCCTGCAAACAACAATCCTCCAGTAGTAACGAACACATCTGGAGCGCATTCTAATACCATGCTCTAGTAGCTCTAGTAGAAGGCTGGTTCTGGGACTGGGGTAAGGGATATGTAAGCACATTTATTTCTAGAGCATGTTCGAGTGCCAGAAAACAGGAATGTGTGCAAAACAACTTATCAGCCAGTGGTGAGAGTGTGAAACAGGGTGCTGTAGTTAGCTGAAAACACTCTTGCCAGTCAAAGCTGGAGCAGTGTGAACAAGGAAGCAAAGTAGTAATGAATTATAACCCAAGGTGTAAAATAAATATCTCTGAGACCATGTTAATGTAAGTAAATAATTGAATACACAAATAAACGCGAAGAGACACATCTCCTGTGCAGAATTCCAAATAACTCATATAGACGCTCTGCTCTCGAGGAGGTGGAGCTAAGCTCGTATCCACAGGTGTGGGCTGCACACAGCAGTTCCTTTCAAACACAAAGTGTGGAAGGGCAGGGAGCAGACTAAGTTCTCAGCGGAGAAACCTCACACGCACGGCTCCACCGGAGATCGCGGTCAACGTCAGCAGCGACAGTCATTCTGATGTATGTGCCTTTGATCTGAGGTCATGAACATGGTCCTCTACCTCTGCGGTCCCCATAACTCCCAGTCTTAGTCTAATCGTGAGGACGAGACAGAGACATCTTACCAAAGATGTGGCTGGGACTCCTCAGACCTGCCACGGTCCTCTGCAAA